GTTTTCTGTGTGGCATGCTCCCACTATGGTGGTAGGAAGTGCCATTCCCTGTCATAGGCGCACGTGCAATAGAATCAACCAGACATAGACCTGAAACTATAAGGGAAACCAACATTCTCGCCGTGTAAGCTTCTCATCTCAGCTGTTTCGTCACTAACACACATAACCTATTTCTGCACCAGTAGAGGAATATGGAGAGACTGTTTATTTCCATAGTATAATAGTTAAAATGAATGAACTAGCTTACGTCCATAATCAGGGAGCGTTCTCAAAAATGCCATGTTAATAGAAACAAATAATAAGATGATGTGCATTATATCGTATATAAAAATTATCTAAGTGGCTAGAGGGTTATTATCTAAGATGACTCAGTGGTTAAGAGCACTTGCTACTTTCCCAGAAGACCAGAGTTGTTTTAGTTAGTGTTACTATTGCTATGACCAAATATATAAAACGAGATAGGGAGTTTGTATAAAATAATTCAAAAGTCGCCAGGTGTGGTAACGCACGTCTTTAATCCCAGCACTCGGGAGGCAGAGGTAGGTGAATCTCTATGAGTTCAAAGACAGCCTGGTCTACAGAGTGAGTTCCAAGACTGCCAGTGCTATGTAGGGAGACCCTGTTTCTGCCTCCCCAGTGCTGGAATTAAATTAAATTAAAGGTGTGTGACACCACCGCCCAGCGAGATGCTAACTTTTAATGTGTGCATGTTTTTAAATAAGGAGTTGTGAAAGGGGGTATAGGAGTATAGAATATGAAACTAAATAGGACACCACAAGGGGACAAGAGGTGTTGAGAAAGAGGGGCAAGGGGGTGTGGAGGTCATGTGAGACAAGAAGGTGGAAAGGGGGCTGCTGGGCGTGGAGACACCCAGAGGAATGTGGGAAAGAAGGGTGTTGGGCAGAGAAACATTTTTTTTAACAAAATGTCATAATGAAACTTTATTCTTTGTAAGCAAATAATATTTGTAACAGTGTGTTCTTCAAAGTATATCATTGTTAGAATAAAATGAAACATGCCCAAATGACTTCAATAAAATAAGAAAACAATTCAGTTTCTCTTTCTTTGCTTTTTTCTATTTTCTTTAATAGTAGGGATTGTGGTACAGGGAATGAAACCCAGGGCATGGCATAGACTGGAAAAGTGCTGTGTCACTAAACTGCTCCTCAGCCCTCATTTTGCTCTCCATTTGGGGCAGGGTCTCACCAGGTCAACTAAGCAGGCCTTGAATTTGTAGTCTCCATACTTCAGCCTCCCAAGTAGCTGAGATTATAGGCTTGCACCAGCTGGCATGACTTAATAAATATGTCCTAGGAACTATTAACTCGCTTTATAGAGGTTAGTGATCTGTAGGTGATTCTATTAGAAAATATTGGGCCATGATTCAGTCCTTCCTAGTTTTATTAGACACGGATGACTGGACTTCTCCCATTATACCATGCACTAATAAAAGGGTAAGATTTTTGCAGTACCTTGAGAATTATCTTCTTACAGGCATAACTTACGCATCCAAATGAGACATTTACCGTCTTTTAGCAGATCACTTAGCCTAGCATTGCTTTGATTACTAAGAATTTTTTTTGACTCTTTGTTTTAAACAGGTGCTAGAACATAAGATATGTTCTGATACATTACAAAAAGCCACAGGTATAGAGAATACTCAGTCTACACATTTTTCTTTTCTTTTTTCTAAAAAGCAGATTTGATTAAAGTTTAGAAAACAAAGTTACTTTGAAGAATACTTTGAAGCTTAAGCTGATGAGCGCTTAGAATACCATCAAGAAGAAACAAATAATGATCACTGTGCTGGTTAGTTTTTTGGTCAATTGACACAAGCTTGGGTCATCCAAGAAGAGGGAATCACGACTGGGAAAATACTTCCATCAGATTGGACTGCAGGAAATATTGTGGGATGCTTTCTTGATTAGTGATTGATGTGGGAGGGCCCAGTCCCCCATGGGTGGTGCCATCCCTAGGCAAATGGTCCTGGGTGTATAAGAAAGCAAGCTGAGTAAAAAGGAGCAAGTCAGTAATCAGAGTTCCTCCATGGTCTCAGTTTCAGTTCCTGCCTCCAAGTTCTTGCCCTGACTTCCCTCAGTGATGGACTGTGATGGGGATATGTAAGCCAAATAAAGCCTTCTCTCCCCACGTTGCTTTTAATTAGGTGATTATCACAGCAATAGAAGGCAAACTACGATGGTAAGCATAACTAAATGTTTTATTGTTTGCTTTCTTCAACCAGTCTTCAAACACATGATTTGTTCTTTTCTGCTTTAGTAGCCCAGGCAAGTTGTTTCTGCTCTCCCTCTCATTCTTCATCTGTTTCATCTGGATTCTAACTTCCAACTTGCAGGATTGCGTGTTTTAAGACAAGAGGCTGTGAATAAATTCTACAGGGCCTGCTTTCAGCAAGCTCTTTACATATTCCTTACCTTTTTTTTGCCTGGTTTCCCTTCCCATTTCTTGTGTCTCGTAGCCTGTGCTTTTGAAATCGCATGGCTTGCACACACTCCCATTCTCAAATGGAGGCAGCCCTGCAGTTAAACTTGGTGCATCTAGATGGAGCCAGATTAATAGCTTTCTCGTGACAGCACAGCTTTTCTCTTTGACAGCAAAGAAAACTGGAGAGGAGGCATCTGGAAAAAAAACCTACATGTATTTTATGTTTTGAACAACACTATAGGAATTGGGAGGGAGAAACTAATGGCTGTCAGACCCTTCAAAATGAATATCCCAACTGTTAACCAATTGTGTGTCTATGAACACAAACTCTTCTATCAGCTATTAGTCATTGCCCTTTGTGACTGGAAATCAGGCTTTTAAACTTTCTAAGTGTGTTTTGAACTATTTCCATCTGTGCCTTTGTGTGAGTAATTTTTGTTAGCATATATTCAGTGAAATGATAGGTTTCATAAATGATGCTTTCATCCAAGTACATGATATACTTTACCATATGCATACCCCATTATTTTTCCTGTCCCCTTCCTCACTTATTGGTCATTAGTGGCTTTTGTACAACAGGGTCCCTCAAATACATTCAGTTTGATTTATAAACATTGACTAAAAATTTCACCTTTCATGTCAATTCCGAGGTATTGTTCCTTCTTGGCCCTCTTTCTAGGATGCTAAGTCTGTTGTGTTTCCTTATCACAACATTAACCAGAAAGGGTGCACTTGCATATCTGTCCGCCGAGTTTCCAACTAACAGATAGCAGTCTATTATTAAGATAATCGGAGAGGAATTTACTTAGACATAATGAATTCTGAAGGTGGTTAGAACAAACAGAAAGAATGGTACAACTACTCATCAGTGGGGCTGTTACTCTCATGTGGCCCAAAGTAAAGAAGGAATAGAGCATTTGGTAGAACCCGAAAGGAGAGAACCAGACTGGTGCCCCCTTGAGAAAAACTGCATTTCTATTGAGAATAAGCCAAACCAAGGTGTCAACATTAGAGTGAAAGAATGAGTTAGAATATGTAACTTCACTTCATTCCATCCCTCCATTCTCCCTGTACGACTCCAGTGGCCAAATCCAGGCAGAAGCTGGAAGACATGATAATTCCTTGATATAGCTCATGTGCATGGGCTTCATAGGCAGTATACCTACCACTTGAAGCTATCAGCTGATACACAGACTAAATGAGAAGGTGGGGCTCAGAAAAAGAAAAGACAGGGATCTAGAATGGCAACCTAGCAGGACCAAACTGGATAGGATATCAGTGCCAGGCACAGAACTGCTTTCAGCATATTGATAATTTCATTGTCCCTTTATAATTTGGTCACATTCTCAAGAGCAGAGCCCTGAGTGAAAACATCCATTTGGGTGAGGAATAGACAATATCAACCACCTTAAACCTCCCTGGTTGGAAACCATGTGCTTCCTTCTTTCAACATTCATATTTAAAAACTTATATAATTGGAGATTTCTAGATATTAAAAAAAGAGTTCAGGACTGGGGCTACAACTCAGTGGTAAAGTGCTTCTTAAGTATGTACAAAGTACCAGGTTCAATCCTCAGTGCAAGTAAATAAATGAAGTTCAGAAAGAATATTCTGTCTCTTCTTTAAAAAAGAGGTCTTCGCTACTAAATAGCCTCTTACATCCTTATTAATCTACAACAGTAAGACAATAGAGAATACAGAGTGCCTGGTTTTGTATTTGCAGTTTCAAGTTGTCTCTCTCATTTCCTTCCTTCCTCCATTTCCTGTTCTCAAGAATGCCCCTTCCACCTTTATCATTCTAGGTCTTTATACAATAAGGCAGGGCTAAGTTACACATCTAGTTAGGAATTCAAATCTTGGGCAACTGACATACATACACGAGGTCACTCAACCCTTGGGACTACTGATTTCTCAACTTCAATGAACACACGTGACTTTCAATATAATCTTGGGTTTCTTTTAGCCACCATTTCCATAGACATTTATAAAATGTTTATAGCCTTAAAACACAATTTAACATTTTTAAGGGTCAGAGTGGTTTATTTTGGAAATATATAGGAGTAGTAAGATAGACAGGCAGACTTGCGATTCCTCTGCATGCTGTGTCTTCTAGTGTACATTCACAGGACCATTAATGGTCTTACCTTAGGAAAAGTTTGTTCACATTTTTCTCAAAGCCTTCTTCTTGCTCCCAGCCCTTAATTTTATTCCTTCCATGTTCTCCCTTCTCTGGAACTATTAACCGTTACTCATGAAGGTGTATGGGTTAGTGCCTCAGATCTTCTCTCCCTAGAAGAAAAATGCTTTGTGGGAAGTGTTGTTCACTGGATGGATCCTCTGCCTTATGCACACCTTGGTTTTAGGATAGCTGCCCAATCCACAAGGAATCTTGAGGTGTTCAATCCACACCCAATCTAAAGTCATGTTTCTCAACCTTGGTTAACCATCCTCATACTCTTTCCCTATGTACACTTCCTAGGGTTTTACAAAGTAAACTAGAAATCTAGAAATGTGTTTGCTTTCTCTGGCTTTTGACTTGGTTAACGTCACCTCCTCAGGGTCATGTTAAATTCGACAACCAATATGGAAGTGAAGTGGATGAAGAGAATTGCTTTCACATGGTGGGGTAACTCCCTCAGGTGAACTAATATCTTCAATCAAGGCAACAACTGTTTCATCAGACAAGGTAGGAGAGATTTCTTAATCTGGCAAGGGAGATTCAGTGAGAATTAAGGATTCAGCCTTCATAGGGCCTTCTAAATCCTCCCATATAGTTAGTTCTGTGTCAGTTTCTCAGCTTTCAAACTAACCCAAATAATACCACAATGTACACCTCTGAAACCTGTCAGGGTTGGAAATAGCACTGATATTATAATTCATCAGCACACTGGATCAAAGTCTGAATTTATATTTGACCATCTCAGTTCTACTAAGGCAAATGACTTTTTTTATACTATTAAGCTATTTATTATAAAGAGCATCTCATTATCTGTCATTGGATTAATTCCTCTGGCCCTTCATCCTTTCTTTCTGAGTTAGATACATGGTGGGCATTGCAGGTGACTGTACGCAATTGATAAGCTAATTTGTTATTGTACTTCTAATGTTACTGCCTGTCAACCAATTCTGATTTTTATCAAGTTGTTCTGCAGCTTAGTTTATGATAGCAATTTCTGAATCAGAGTTCTTGCAAGAAAAGGATTTAGTAAGAAAACATGAGATAACTCAGAATTCTGGAGACATTCTGGAGAGAAGTGCCTGGATGAAGGTAGTAAACTGGGGAAGGAAGGCAAGAGCAACAGAAGACTGGGTCTGAATACACTTGATGCCTTTGCATAGTATACAGGTATTGGTTTTGGTTGCCAAGGCAAGGCCAGGCTAAGAACTCGACATAATCAGCACTGTTTGTTGTTAAGGATACTATAAATCTCATCTCTCCAGCACTTTTTCTTCAAAGTCCTAGGTGGGAGCGTCTTCTGGGTCCTCTGCACATAACCTGGCTTTATAGGTTATAGAGGGAAGCACTAGGATTTCATAGTAAGGCACACAATGGGAACTGGATGTGAGGTTCTGATGCTGTGTGTTTAAAACTCCTTTTATTTCTCAATCCATGGTGGAAGAGATTTTTATTAGGAACACCAAAGTTATTTTCTATTTCTTATTTCTCCCTACCTTTTAGACCCTGGAGAATGTCACTGTACTTTTCTAGTGTTCCTGGAGAAAAGACTTGGATTAAGGACATTCAGGATATTGAATTAAGATATTCTGTCTAAAACACGATCTCCAACATCTCCTGACTGTAGTTTGGAAGGTACTATGCTAACATTAAGAATTTAAGAAATACACCATGTAAGATTTTCCCTTTTATTCAATATGTTGTTTCAAATAATTGTGTCAAGCCAGTTCCTCTTTGAATATGAGACTTTTATATATGCCAGATTCTATGTATTTATTGAATTTCTCTATAATATTAACTCCAGAAGCATTTTTCCTTACTTGCTTCTTGACATTTCTTATTGATTTTAGTAGTTTCCTTAATAACGTACCTCTTCTCTACTAATTTAAAACGCATATAAAAATCAAGGTGAATCTAGAGGAGGGCAATGATAAAGGAAGCAGATATTTTAGGAGGCCTTAAGGTCTTACCAAGGTTGAGGCAAGAGTTTTACTTTAAATCTCTTATCTATCTAATTATTTTACCACTTTGATTAAATAAAGGTAAAATTGGTATTGATGAAAAGAGAAAGCACAATCAGACAAGCAGATAAGCAAATAATTGAACACAAATAACTTTTAATTATACTTACTTAATAGAGTTAAGGAACCATGTCAGGTGCCAACATCACTTTAGCAAAACAAAGGGCACTGTCAGGATGAAAACAAGAAAGCAGCAGAATGTTCAGAAAATTTTGGTCAGTTTCAAAATTGTGAAATATTCTTCTGTGACTTTAGTTCCAGAGTAGCCCTAAATCATGAGTGAAGGACATGTTAATGCCCTTCAAGGAAAACACATTTTTTTTCATCCTTTCACATGCTGTGATCTTTTGTAGACTCCTATGAAAGTCCCCGGGTTCCTTCAAACACAAAATTGGATAGGCTTCCAGACAGTTTCATCTGGCAAGTTTAAAATGCGCCTCCACTTAGGACTCTAGTAGGACAGCTAGTAAATGGCTTTTGTTTTAAGTCATTCCGACAGTTTCTTTTCAACTAAATAATGCACTCTCCCTTTTGCCCCTTTCCTACACCAGATTGCCTGGATTAGTTACCCTTTCTCTCTGGGGTCCTGCTGCTATGATTCAAAGCACATAAGGGGAAAAAAATGCATGGTAGTGACATCTATCTTCACTTGTGATTTATTTACAATGTTACAGTGTATGAAACAATACAAATTTAACAGAAAATGAGCATGCAATTCCATTTTTAATCCTGTTTCCATTCCAGCATCACACAGTCCGATAAGCTATTGTGCTAGACAGCAAGAGCAAGCAAGCCACAGTGCCCACTCAACTGCATGATCACAAAGGGAAACACCAGCTGTTTCCCGGGTACTGTGTTGCTAAGCTACGACTTTCCATATAAGTTGAGGAACATTTGAAAACCAACCAATACATGCCAAAGAGATGTGAGTAGCACATTCGTTAATTACAGAAAGGGACTCTGGGTTAGGTGACTCAGTGACATTATCGGGAATTGAAGGTGATCTTCACACATTACTGCCTTCTGATCTTGATTGGGAGAGACCTACTTTAGAAAATGGCCGGATTGCTTTCATGTCTCTCATTGCTTTGAATAAGCAGGCTTTAATTGCAAATTTTAACTGGAAGAGTAGGGTTGTGGCCATAGTAGTGAAGTGGTTTTGTGAGCCATTTTTATACTTCTACTTTTCACTGGCAGGCACAAATTGCTCTTGGCATTATAGAGTGCTTTGTATTTTTGAGGCACTTCACAATCATTAATTACATTATCTCCTTTCTATCTCAAATGAGGTAGGTTGATTAGCATGACAAGGTTATGCAAGAACAATAAGAGATTAGAAACTCTCAATATTAGGCAGATGATGTACTGAGAGCAGCATTCTGTGTTTTCACACCATTTATAGAGAAAAAGAAACCGTGAGAAGACACCATTTCTCACTGAGAAACATTGAGTTTGTTTATTTTTGATCTTTGAATAGTTTAGAGGTTGGAAATTAGATTTAAAGTGACTTTTTAAATGCAATCCCAAATAATAGATGAAAGAAAGGAGACACCAATACTCTTATTACTAGGAAAATAACTAGAACTTGCCTACAAGTAGACAGAGGTGGGCTCCCTATATACTTGTAGTAGTGATTTTCAGAAGCTGGTATTTATCAAGTGCTGAAATAGGCACTTTACTACAACACTCTACAATCTACTATAATATTTAATCCTTATAACAATACTGCCGGAGTTGGGGATTTAGCTCAGTGGTAGAGCGCTTGCCTAGCAAGTGCAAGGCCCTGGGTTCGGTCCTCAACTCCAAATAAAACCCAATACTGCCAACAGAAATTGCTAGTGTCACCTCTTAATGGGGGAAGAAACTGAGACCTAGAGAGACTGAATAATTCATGTACAATAATATTCTCTCCAACCTATAACTGACTCCCAAACCTTTGGATCAGTTCTTTTAATAATGATTTACATGTGACCTGAATAGTTCTTAATGACAGTATACTAGGTAACAATCCAGGGTAACTGAATATCCATGAGCTACTTGATTCCCTGGAAGAAGTTGTCCAACTGAACTCCACTGAAGAATTTTGAAGGAGGAAATCGGGGATAGTGAGCATACAAACCCAATGAACAAGCCTCAACAAAGTTATATGCAAACTTTAATATTAGATACAAAAGATTTCATAAAGTTTATCTTCTAGATGTGTCTAGGTCCCATTCTACAGGCAACAGAGTTGTTAATAGTCAAACAGCCTTAAGAAAAGATGGCTGGAGCAAACCAATAGCTTAAGGTGAGGCAATGCCCTTGACTAGCAGATATGATCTAAGATAACCCAGAGAAGAGCAAGATGAATTTACAAGTATGCTTTAAGACACAAGTAGCAACCAGAAAGATGACTACAAGTTTCACGAAGGACTAGAATTGGGAAAAAGGGCATTCACAAGCAGTGACTTTTGAGGGTATTCAAGGACATGTGGCCTAGGCTCCAAGAGAGAATATTGTCATGGAAATTATTACCCAGACAGTACTTTTCTACTAAGCCCTTGTCAACGGAAAACAATGTCAAGGTTCTCACAGGGCCTCCATTATCCTGGCTATGGAAGTGTCTGTTAGTCACTTAGGTGTTTGATGAACTTTAAACCTTCGTGATTTCCCTGTTTGCTTAATGCCTGATAGCCTTTGGTGTGCTAATAAATCTCCTTTATGCACAGGTTGATCTCTGAACTTCTAAGGGGTGGGAAAGGAATCAGCCTATGAGAGAGGAGATGGCTCTAGAATTATGAGTGGGATCTTGAACAAACAAAAGGTATCTTTGAAAGAGAATTGGCCCTGTGCATCTCATCTGCCTCAGACACAAACTTGGATTACTTATCATACTTAGTTGCCTCTTTCCAATCTCATAATTGTGCATTTCACAATCTTCTTTGTTTTGCTGAAATTTACCAGATCACAAAATGAAAAGCACTCGGGCACAGTTGAGATTTTTCTGTTGCTATCTAAACTCTGAAAAATTCTTAGCTCTGCTCAAAATCAAGAACTGCAAGAGTGAATGAGAAAGGGAGAATTACTTCATTCACAAGAGAGGAGAAATCTTAGAATTCAACCCGTTGATTAGCATTTCCCACTGTTCAGAATATCGTCTTCAAATGTCTCAGTTGAAAGGGTATGGTGAGGAAGGGGGTGGAGATAATCTTTACTGATTTCACAGTTTTCCCTAGGGCCTGCCTGTTTGAACAAATATTTGGCAGTGACGTAGAAAGAAAACATCCCTGAGTCAATATTTTTAGTCAAAGTCCCATTACCATCTGTTAATTGAACAGTAATTTTCAGATTTTCTATAAATCATGAGCTCCTTGGATGACATATTTATCCGTGGAAAGAAAAATATAGCCAGATGATAGGTAATTTGCTTTTTGTCGCTATCTTGATTCAGTTTTATTTCCTATTGTTCTCATGCATCCAGCTTATGAAGCACTGCCAAGACAGTAAGAA